ATAGCTCCATCCAAGCAAAGCAGAGAACAAGTTCTGATCTGATTCCAGGCAAGGGAATATGCAGTGTGGTTCAAAAATTCAAAATGTTAACTGCAATGATCAACTAGCTGTATCAACCTTCTTTTGCACTGCACCGAAGAACCACACCTGGATCAACCTCAGGAGCAAGTCATTCTTCAATGACTTGGAAATATAGGAAAACAAATGGAAAACAGCATACGAATTTTTTTAAACAGTTCTAAATTATTTTACAATACTCTACTACACTGATTCAGTAAGCACAACTTTGGTGGATAACTTGGAAGCTGCTATTCAGACCTTTGGTTAAGCCTGATATCTCTGCCTTAAAAGCAGTAGAAGTATTTTTTTAAAGCATTGCAATGAAATCCTTGGCAAGGATAATGTATCATGATGAATCTAACATTCATTCATTCATTCATTCATTCATTCATTCATTCATAGCTAGTTTGGTAAAGCAGTTAAGACCAGGCTAGAAATAAGATAATAAATTCTAATCCTGCCTTAGGCATGAAAGTTGGCTGGGTGATTTTGAGCCAGTCATTCTCTCTCAGCCCAGACACATCACAGGGTTGTTGTTGTGGGGAAAATAGGAGGAGGAAGGAGTATTGTGTGTGTTTGCCACATTGAGTTATTTATTAAAAAAAATAAAGGTGAACACAAATAAATAAATAAAATTCCTGCTTTGTTCATAGACTTTTGTTCCACAATGAAGCAGATGCAGGTGTTTTGACAATTCCTTATTCTAACCTATGGATAATTTAAAACAAAATATTGAAAGGTCATTGACTCATCCTTAAATATCAAAGTACTTTCTCCAAATTTCATATCTCCACTCTGACTTAAATGAAGTCCAATTCAACTTGCATAAATGCCTACTGAAAAACCTTGTCAATAACTTTTTAAGTTAGGTACACACATACCAAAACAAAAACCGAACCAAAGCAGCTAACCTATCAATTCCTTAGATCTGTTCCCCCTAAATCACTGCTCTTCAGGTGAATTCCCAACCACCATATTGGAAAGGTACCATATTACTGGCTACTCTAGAGAGCTATAGATAGGTTGCTATTTCTCAGCTTTAACTCTAATAACACCATGGAAATCAAAGCCCAGATCTTATAACCCCCACCCTACAAATAGGAAGACTGAAGTACCTAGTCTCTAGATGGATTTGTACACCTCCTTAAACTGAAAACAACCAAACATGATTTTGTATTTTGCGTGAACCTAGTCATTCTTGCTTTCAATTTCAATGGTGTGGCACAACCAAGCCCGCTGTACTTTATTTAGTAAACCACTTTTTTAGCAAGTGGTCGCCTACAGTTATAATTACTGTATTTAACAAATTCACAGTAAAAACTTGCAGTATTTGAAGATCATCCACTTAGTCACACTACAATGTTATCTGTCTTGATTTACTTTTAAAAAATTATATTCAGCTAATTAATTTTAATGATTCCCTCTTAAGACGACACATTTTTAAAAAAATAGGCAAAAGGAATTTAAGCAGTTATCAGATGTCATGTCTGAATTCCAACCCAAGTTTGTCAAGTCATTAGTTAATCCCCATTCAGAATTTTAAGCCAAGAGCAACATGGCTGTTGCTTTGAGATCTGCATTGCATATTTATTTAGGGCTCATCTCAATAAAGACCCATTTTATATTTTCCTACATTTTCAATAGCACATAACTTATAAGGTGCCCTTATGACATTATGCACTATATATATTTGTTTAATAAATAAATAAAAATCAGGGCAGTTCTAAGCTATGGCTGGAACTCTCAATTTTGTTGTCAATAGATTCTTTAACATCTGAGAGCGCCAGCTGAAAATCCTACATGCAAAGCACTTTTTCTATCATGGAGTCTGCCCAATCTTTGCACAAACAAGGTATCAAAAATCATGACTTCAACTTGTGCTGCTGAATAAAGGCCAGGTCAACGGTGAAAGAAAACTTTGTGATGTCATCAAAACTTCCATTAACTTGGCTTCTTCTGGGAAAGCCTGGGAAAACCAAGGAATGAATTCTACTTCTAAACAGCCATAACCAGAATACAAACATCATACTTACAGTGGGCTTAACATTTTAGTAGCACAAGTTCTATAACAAGGCCATATTCCAAGATGGGGGGGGAGTTTAGAACTGATATTACCACCTTCTGAAAAAGAAATACCTTTGCACAGGTGTAGCCAGTAAATAGACAGAAGGGGAAGAAGTCTACATTGTATTTACATTCATATTACACCAAGGAACCAGAAGGACTTCGGAAAGCCTCCTTTATACATAGAAATCTGCTAATGAATGTGTGCTGTGTATGCCTTTAATATGTTTCCACTGAAGTTCATGCTTTTAACTGGAGCATTCTGTCAGACTGGCAAAATTGATTTAGGAGAAAAGGAATCCATTTGCCAGCTGTCGCAAACTAGCTAAGTTCTGTCTGGATGGACTGAGGAGTTGAATACTGCAGGACCTCAGCCCAAAAGATTGGTAACCAAAGTTATCAAACATTCTTATTTTTCATAGACCTTTTTTTCCCCTTAGAAAAGATGTCACAATTACAAAAATAAGAATAAAACTGTTCATTGTGATCGCCCTATGGACAAACTCTGCATAAATCTAATAACAGAACCTGGTCTCTTTATCTGATTAAAACTGGGCAAAATATTGAGAAACAAAAGCAGTGTGGACTCTGAAAATGTGCCAAGGGCTTCCCCTCCAGGAAATTCATTTTTAAAAAATGGGAAAGAGGGAAGACAGAAATAATGTAACCCCCACTTGGCCATGAGTCTTTAAAACATTTTGAAGGCATGTGGTCCTCTCCCATCTCCATCAGAGGATAAACAAAGACAATATATCATGCCTTCTGTAACTAATAACGTATTAAGAAGCAAAAAGGAAGAGATGGTCCAGAACCACATCTGGCAAGGAAATGATGTTGCTTATTCTTCCCCAGCATCCCTTTCTAAAGCAGAAGCAGTCAAACAGCGACCAAATTAAAATGCCATTACCCAGATTGAGAATCATCTCAGATTGTCTTCCCAAACTATTCTCCTCCCAATCGGAGCAGGGAGGAAACAAAACGCCGAAATAAACTGCAATCTATATATACAAAGGCAATTAACACAACTAGGCCAGGCTTTTTTAGGAGCAGAGATGGAGATAGAGGGGGGGGGGGGGGACAACACAACAAAAAAAAAAAAAAAAAAATAGCCATAGCACAACCCGAAGTGCTGGTGGGAACGAAAACTAAGATCAGACGCTTAATCCGATGCCAGCGAATCGTGCCAAGATCTTCCCAAGAGAAGATCTCCCGAGGTCTCTTTCGACGGAGCAACTTCAACAGGCTCGAAAGCCGGTTTGGTTATTACACCGATGGAGGCAGCGAGAGCCCAACCCACCCGCTCAGGAGACGCCGTTCCTCGGACGCCGAGAATCGGGTTAGATCCTCCGCCGGGATCGGGCTTCTGGCCGAGCAAAGAGGCTCCCCAATATCCTCTTCCCTCCCTCGGGCGAAACTGCCAGCTGTCAAGCGCAGCAACCGGCAGAGCTTCTGCCTGGGGGGCACCAGCCGCTTCTTCGCAATCGCCGGTTCTCTCGGAAAGGCGGGAAACGGAGGGGACACACACACACACAAACACACACAAACACACACAAACACACCCGTCAAACCGCCTCCTGTCAGGAATTGCCTGTCGTTCGTTCGCTGTCTCCCCTCCCCAAGGCTTCAAAATTACCGAGCTACACGGAGGAAGGAAACTAGCAAGCAGTGGGCGCTGCCCCCACCGCCTCAGCTTCTCGCTCCAGCCAGGCAGGCAGGCAGCGACTTAGCCGGCAGCACCCAGCGACTTAGCTGAGAGGGAAGGGGGCAGCCGGGAAGCAGGAACCTTCGCCCGATCCAGGAGAGCCCGTCCCTAACAAAGCTCCCGATTCTTCTCCTCAACGAATCTCGTTTCCCCTTTAACTATCCGCTCTTTCTTTCTCCCCCCACCCCCCACCTCCTCCCTGCCCGCGCATCCTCCCCTCGGACCAGAGTCCACCATCCCGCCTCTGGCAGCAGGAATGTGACCTCAAAACACCCATGTTCCACATAAACGGAACCTGTGCAACGCTTGGTTGTTGTTTTTTTTAAAGGGGGGGGGGTGTTAGGGAGTAAGAGAGACTTGGAAAATGGGGAAGACGATCTGTCGAAGGAGAGAAACGGGACCGCGGAAGCGAGAGAGCTGTACCTTGGATGTGCTGCTTGATGACACTTTCCAAGTGGTCCAGCCTTTCTATAATCCTTAGAGTGTCTCCTTTGTCTTCCTCTAACTTTTTCTCCGAGATCGGCTCCTGAACTTTCACAGAAACCGTGGCAATGTAGTTGGTTACCCAGCCCACGTAGAGCAAGCAGATGATGTTAGTCATCCCGCTGAGAATCACGCATGTGGACACTAAAGTTTTGGTTTTCCTGTTGCAAACCATTCTGAGATCCCTCCATATAGCTCCAAAACAAAAACCTGGGGCTCCGGTAGAAGAAGAAGCGGGGTGGGAGAAGAGCAGGCGGCAGCACAAGAAAAAAAAGAAAAAGAAAAAGAAAGAAGAAAGAAAGAAAAAGTCAATAATTAGGTGCGTAATTAAACACCCTTCTCTCACTTTCTGCAAAAAAAAAAAGGGTCGAGGCTCAAGTCAGCGAATTTCCATCTAAATCGCGACCTGTTTCACAGACAAGGAACATTTTCTTCCCCCGGCCAAAAAGCAAAGGTGAAGACGAGAGCTTGATTCGGTTGCTGGGATCTTCCCGGCTGTAAACCAATCCAAGAAAAACCAAAGGAAAGAAGCAGAAAACTTTTGTCTCCGAAGCTTTGTCCGCTCCCAGGCTCGGCTGCTTCCCTTTGGTCAGCCTCACTCCAGAGCGCGCACGGGCGAGAGATGCGGAGAGTCAGGTGCCCAAGTGTTGCAAAAACTTTCTTCTCCGCCGTGCCGCCTCGCACAGCTCACAGCAGCCGCCGCTCCTTAAGCCACCCCTTAGAAGCCGCAAGCAGGCGAGTCGGGTGTGTTATGGGGGCGGATTGACAAGCCTCTCGTCCAATAAAGAGAAAGAGCTGGTCCAGAGTTCCGCGGCATCGCCAAGCGGTTGGCCAACGGGGGACTTCGGAGGGGAGAGCTTCATTGGAGGCCCACCTGCTCGCCGATCCGGCTTTCTCTAGCCGTCAGGCTCCCGTTGGGCGAGTGTGTTTGTGTCCGTGTAAATCGGCGGCTCCCGGGGGAATCTGCAGCGGAGGTCAAAGGAGGCAGCGAAAATTGCGTGGATAAGTTCCACAGGTAATTTACCACGTCTGGCTTTCCTTCCATATTCTTCCCTCTTTTATCCCTCGCTATTAGTATAGTATCTGTTCCTATTTGTTATCAGCCGCCCACAATACCACCATCGATTCTGTAAGGTGTCCCAAAGGGGCTTTTCTTTTTCGAGAGGCAACTGGACTTTCTGGGTTTTTTTTTCTTTGAAGACGTTTCGCTTCTCATCCAAGAAGCTTCTTCAGCTCTGGATGACTGAGAATCCCCATAGATTCTGTAAAGGTGTTTTAAAGCTTTTCCTTGTATGGTCTAGTAGTCGATTAGGAACGATCAAAGAGAGCCTGATGGATTCAAAACGTGGGGAGGGGGAAAATCCAACCGCCCGCCTTCCTTGCTCCTGTAAACGCTTGGTGGCTTGACTCCCAAGTATTCAATAGACAGGTCTTCAGTGTTAAAAGCCTAGCAATAGCTATAAAGTCACCGGAGAAAAGATTTTAATGGGAGCTGTCTTAGCCTGCTGTTTTATTGTAAGAAAAAAAAAAAGAGGAAGTACTTTTGTGTTCATTCCCCTGCCAAGCCAGTGTATTAGCTCCATTATCTGTGTTCTGTAATGTTCCATTTTTACATGTATGGAATTAAGGTTGCTGAGCCTTCCTGAGCTATATAACTGAATGCAACCTAACCTATGCATCTCTTATAATGTAATAGTGTCAAATTAAGCCAGATCAAGGAATTGTAGTCAGGGTTCCCGTTGGCTTGCTCTGGAATGACAACAATGCTGGCCAGGCATTTTTTGGCAGGGAGCCCAGATATGGCAAGGAGCCAGGCATATCCTTGGGCAATCTCATCTGTTGCAGATGCCTTTCCTGCTAGAGCCGCCCATGAGACCCAATGCACGTTACCTGCTGCTTGAAGTTCATGGATGATGTGTGGTTTGTGCTCATTTCTCTTCCCCGAGGCAGAGATTCTCTACTATGTATTCCTCCAACAATTGAGGGCGGGACCACTGAAATCTCCTTCCTCCCCCCCTCCCCCATCGCTACGTCAGACAATAAATGACTGGAGCAGCCTTTCCTGCAGCCCCAGCCATGAAATTGTCCCTGGAAGACAAATAGTTCTCTATGCCATATTCACAGGTGGCACTTACTTTCCATGGGCTTCTGGATGTTTTAACTTTGTGCTCCCTTCCAACCTCTTCCTTCTCTTCCTTTCCTCTCTTTGGAGCAGGTTCTCATCTACCTAACACAGAGTGGTCGCTGGAGGAGGATTCTGCATAGAATTGCTGTGCTGCTGTAAGATCTTGTTATTGCTACAGCCTGGCATGCTTTTTTGTCTTGTGTCATACCAGCTTCATGGGCCATAAACTCTACTGAACTGCGAGGAGTAGGAAGAGAAAGAAGAGCAGTGAGAGGAGGTGGAAAATGCTGGGCCAAGAATTTACCTCATTCTGGTAAGCCTAAGAGGGGCATTTGCTAGAGTTCCACTGCTGGGGCTAAACCTTACAGAAAGTACCATATGGGCACCAGCAGTTACCACTTTCTTACTGTTCCCGTGGCAACCTGCTGACCGTGCCAGATTTAGGCACAAGCTAAGCAAGTTACAGTTTAGGGTCTCATTGGGGTCTCATAGTCCAAAGGGGCCTCTCAAAATTTCAGTTTTCTTTTCACTTGTTACAGTTTCATTATCATTTCATACTGCAAAGTCTCCATTAATTAAGCTATTCTGTATGGTTCACATGATCCTCATTAATTAACGTATGCTTTGTTTCTGGCTACACTTATACCTTCTATTCACAGAGGATCTTTCCCTACCACATTGTGGATTTTTTTAATGCTTGGCATTCTTGCCAAGTTCAGTTGTTATATATGCCAGGTAGAATCTCTAGAGTTTAATCACTGTTAACACTTTCCAAACAAAACTGCTAAAGTTTCTCAAAGTTTAGCCCTCTCCTGCCAGCCAGTCCTTCCACTTCTTCCTTTAGTAGTGGTTCAACCCACATCTATTTCATCCAAACTTCATGAAGAGCGAGGAGACAGGAGAGTGATAGCATCTCTGAAGCTGCTCTGGTGGGCCAGTCAGCTATGCTGTGGTGGACCAGCCAGATCAGTAGGGTTGAGCTGCGCTTCTATTAGCACTAATATATAACCACTGACACAACCCAGCTTTAATGATAGACAGCTCCAAATACCAGCTCTCCTTGAAGAAACAGTCAAACCTGGATATTGGCAGGCTGCCAACAGCTGAGCCATGTCATGATGAGGCATAGTCCCTTTTGGTGCTAGTTTCTCAACCATCCAAAAATTCTTACCCATAGCAACAGCTTCCTTTTGCTGTTGTATTCACCAGATACAACATTAGTTGTGGGGAGTAGTTGTACAGTTCAAGATACATTCAAGTATCTAGTCCAGGACATGCTTGTTTATGGTTGTTATCTCATGAAACCACCCTAGTTCAGGATAGTGATGGATACCCACCAAAAGTAGACTTTTAGAGACTTTCCAGACCCTCCTCTAACTCATGTTTCTTTATGGTAGTACCTTCAGAGAGAACATCACCCTGTATTCAGACAAGTAGTTCTGGCACAGATTGTTAGCAGCCTGTACTGCAGTACAATTTCCACTTCCCTTTCTTTCAGAGATTGATAGCCATTGGGATCAGCCAATACACAGCACCATTAACTGACCAAATGCGCTCTTTTCCCATAACTGTCTTAACTCCCCTACAAAATAAATCCTGCATTGTTTAAACTGACTAGGTGCAAGATGTTCTGCACATGTAGCCACTTGCTTTTTAAATAAATACCTTAAGCATGAAAGATAGGTAAAGCTCTGGTTTCATTTCCATCCAAGTGGAATGGCCACCATTACTGTTGGGGAAGAGAGAAGAGGCTCTCTTCTCGCCAAGGCTCAAGGTTGACTCAGCCTTCCATCCTTTCTAAGGTAGATAAATTGAGGACCCAGTTGTGGGGGCAATAAGCTGACTTTGTATAAATATACAAAAGGATGAAGGCTATTGCTGAGCACATTGTAAGCCGCCCTGAGTCTTCGGAGAAGGGCGGCATATAAATCAAATTAAAAAAAAAAGAAGAAGAAGAAGAAATAATGACAGCCCACCTTCGGAAGCCAAAGACAGCAGCTTTTGCATTGCTGACCTACCATCTGGAGAAGGCATTCATGGCTGGGCTTTATTGGCTAGTGATGCCATCGCTTAGCACAGCATGGCTCAGTTCACGGCTGGGGTGGAATCCTTGAGAGAGTGTGTAATTGACTGTGGTAATAGCTCCCTGTGTTCCCACTACATTAATTTATGGACTGCACACAGGGTGTCAGGATTTGTTGCTATGCCTGGTATAAGATCTGATATAGGTGTACATTGAATTTCACACCAGTTAGTTTCCCAACTGAGGGAGTAGATCCAGATTGGGATTATGATCACAAATTGCTGTAACCCATGATTGGGACAAAGAGCTGAAGGTATGTACACTGTTATCTCATCATATATGAAAATAAGAACTGGGCCCAAGGTATATAATAGACTTCCTTGTATATCAGCGCTTGTGCCATCCAAGCAGAGTTAGTTTGATAAACCATGATTAAAACCGTATGCTGTTTATGATTTTGTTTAAAACAGTACCCTCATAGAATTGTGCTTTGCAATGGAATGTAGTCATTATAATATGTTTTAGGATAGCTTTGAATGGAATACGAGTTAAATTATTAAAAACTGACTTTATATTTTGTATATAATAGAAGTCAACTGTGAAAGAAAAAATGGAAACTACATAAATCAAATCTTAAACCCAATTTTTGTTTTTCTAATCAATAATTTGGAAACGCCAGCTGGTACATATAGTAAGTTCATATGCTTCCTCTTGTTATTGTTCTAAGAAAGGGTAAGTCAAGTATAGGATCTCCTGCTTGAGCAGGGGGCTGGACTAGAAGACCTCCAAGGCCCCATCCAGCTCTAGTCTGATTCGATTCAAAGTAACCAAACTGAGTGGCCTTTTAAGTGTTGGCTCAGAGAGGATACAATTTATCCAGCAAATCTGGAAGCAAGAGAAACACTAAGGAAGAAACAGTAAGGAAGATGCCTGCATGGAGAGGCTTCCATGTCCATGTCTTAACTGAATTTATCGTACATAATTATACAAAAATAATTTCCAAGTAAATCTTTGAGAACCTCAGATTTTAACACAGAAGTTTCTCAAAATGAACAACACTGCCTTTATTTTATTTGACTTATGTACAGTTTTTAAACATACCACTAGCAATAAAATTATGGTATTTTTCTGATAAACTGCTCTGAAATCTTAACTTGGGAATAGTCTCTTGTAACCATTGAACATTTCTAGGTACAAAAATGCATTTATGGATACAGATAATGTATTGAGATTTGCTGGGTCAATGTAACGAAAGAACATAGACAACATCTGAATAAAACAATATTTTCTTTAAAAGTTATTTCTTGTTCTTTTTTTGCTAAGTTATATTTTTTGGCCAATGCCGTCTCCCAGACTTGGAATAAATATTGGTTCAAAGAGAGATGAACTTTACTTTCCCAGTGGTTTCTTAGAGAAAATCTGGCAGCTAATATTGTAATGACTTATTTTCTTGTGTGGCAATCCAACCTTCTGTTAAGTTTGTAAATCACATGACTCACTGAATTTGATTCCTGTACTCAAACCTATTTAAAAGCTTCAGAGCAAAGCACACTAAGTATGTAAAGCAGGGGTAGCTATATTTTTGCTACCAAGAGATTTCAATAAAATAAACTTCAATGTACTGTTTCAAACCAGGGCATTCTGGTATGTCTTCACATACTCTCACACAGCAAACCATAGCTGAAAGACAGAGATCCTCCTTCATATACAAAGGATCCCAAGTTCAAATCATTATATCATGCCGGTAAGGTGGCGGGAGGAGGGGGAAGTCTCCCTTATCCAAATATTACACAGTAACTCTTAAGGGCAGAGACAACATTCTACTGCATGGTATCAATGGTACAATATCTAGGAATGGAAAACACATGGCCTTATTAATCCTGATATAGACCTACTGAAGATATCCTTCAAGACAGGACAGAAGACTCTGACTGGAGTTAAAATGCAGCACCCAGTGCAGCCCTGGTTTCAGTTTTGGGACATTTTATCCTGCCTACAGCCCTGGATCAGGCTGAAATTCAGCAGGTTCTGACAGGTTCTGGAGAACCGGTAATGGAAATTTTGAACAGTTCAGAGAACCGGCATATACCACCTCTGGCTGGCCCCAGAGTGGGGTGGGAATGGAGTTTTTGCAATCTCCTTCCCCCAGGAGTGGGAAGGGAATGGGAATTTTGTAGTAACCTTCCTCTGGAGTGGGGTGGGAATGGAGATTTTGCAGTATCCTTCCTCTGCCACCCCCACCAAGTCACGCCCACAGAACTGGTAGTAAAAAAAATTGAATTCCACCACTGCCCTGCCCTGCATCAAAATATAAGTAGTGCACCTTGACCCAATTATAGGGTCTATTAGCATGGTGGTGGGGAGGAAGGAGCAATAGCTCCTCTGGATCTTGGGGTTTCTGGATTTTGTCTGGATTTTCCAAGTGGTATGAACCAGTCAGGAAGAGAAGGCCACAAATGCCACTCCAATAGAACTTGGTCATAATCAAGTGTGTTTACTCCTTTCCCCTGTGTCCATAATTCATATGTAAGCAGTGTATCAAAGGCAAATTAGACAATGCACCGGTCACTTTGTTCATCAGCCCTAAGTGTGTTTGGGAGTCAATCTAGTACCATTAACACTGCTTTTTTTCAGAATTCCTTACAAATTCCTGTGTCCCTGGCAAATATAGACATAAAAACGGCTATAAAAGCAATAGCTATTGAAATAAAACCATAGATTCCATATAGATACCGTGACCTGAATGACTGAGAATCTCTGTAGATATATAGATACCAAATGTCTACTGTAATAGTTAACAATGTCAGAATCACCCCCAAGCATGGTACAACATCACCATCCAAGGTCCATAGAAAACATCACTTCCCAAATTCTGATCTCATTTTGTTTTCCATCCCTGAGGCAACACAGAACATTTGGCCACACAAATTTCACAGACCAATCCCTACCCACAGTTAAACATACATGGCACACAAAGAAACAGAGATGGATATGGAGCAAAATTAAAAACATCAGCAGGTTATCACTAACTACCTTTTGTGTGCCATGTATGTTTAACTACCTATAGAGTGGCTCTGTCATTGAAAGGTTAAAGTCACCAGGCAGATAAAATTCAGCCAGGTGATTCTCAGCAATCATGCAATGAAGCCATGGTCAGGCATTCAAACCAAAATTCTTTATTCTGGAGTTGTGTTTTTTCAACATGGTCCTTTGCAATTGTAGCAAGTGTAAATGATAAAATGGTAGGACAATGTGCAGCACATTAAAAAAAAAAAGCTAGGAAGGAATAACCTTCAAGTAGGAAGGCACAAAAAGTTCCAAAATAGAATAGCAAAAATCCAAGATACCTGCTTGTCTAGAAACAATTTTGCTATTGTGGGAAACTTATGTGGGTGGGCTGTTGGAATGCAAAGGCAATGGGCCAGAAAACAAGATGTGCGCATTTGAATGTCAAGGTTATAACTTGACATTGCACACCACAGCCTTGAAACTGAAAACTGGAAAATACGGAATTAAAACCCTTTTAAGTTGTGCTCAACTTGTTATCCCTAGACAACAACCCAGTGGCATGTTCGGACCAGTTCTACAAGAGCTCCCAGAATATTGTGCTCCACATCAGTACCTGAGTTGGTTACTTTGCCACAAAAATGAATGCAGTTCCAACATCTGGGTAATATGATACAGTGTGACCTGCACATTCACAGTTGTTGTGTACGACCAAGCATGAAGGGCATGTCATTTAATGGGGTGAAAATTAATTTTTGCATTTTTTTTCCAGTGAGGGATAAAAATATGTGTTTTTACACCAAGAATTCAAATCTGTGGTTATTTTTGCAATTGTACGATGTTTAGCTTGTTATGGTAAATCCACATCTGATCATATACCCCAGAAAAGTCTCTTCTAATCCAAATACTATTAACTTTATCTTCACAAAATTACACCTTTGTGCTACAAAAATTAAAGGTTTTTTTCTGCATGAATCTTATTTAGCTAAGAAAAAAAAAAAAGAATCCATGCAATCATAAACTAACATCAGAAAGCAATTATCTGAGTTACAAAAATGTTTAAGTGAGTTCTATCAAGTCTTGTTTTGATCCGTTCTTCTACATCGGCTGCTGATTTGCTTCTTGGCCTCTGATATAACCCTCATGTTTCTCATGTGTATACTCTCTGCTTGCTGCTTCTGTGACCTGTTTCACACATCTCTCTATTGATTGGGCATGACAGGGCCACCGTGGTACTTGCATTGGTTCATCAGTGAACTTCTTTATTTCTGCTATAGTCAGTTTGCAGAAGGTTAAAGGTGGCTCATATAAACCTTCAGACCAGTCAATAAACTCCAGCAGAATAAATGCCCTGGCATTGATTAAAGGCATTTTTCTTGCATGTACAGAAAAATCTCCCAGCATTTCATAATCTGCACCCCTCAAGTCAATGATATTTTGCACACCAGCTGTCCTCTCTTGAATGTCATCTGAACACAAGAGTATCTGGACTATCATTTCACTGAAAGTGTACCATGCTGAGCGCTGAATGGTTGGTAAAACAGCATCTACTACAGCCTTCTTTCCCAGTTTGACTTGCTGCAACTGGAACAATACCTGATGTGGGCTTCAATCCAGGAATGTTTTACTTTGATGTTGAACCAGCAAGGATAGTACAGACCAACGATGTATTCAACTATCATTCTTAAGTTTTGGATGCTAGAAAATTATGTGCTGTGTAAAAATTTACCTTTTGTATATCTCAATTTTTCCAAGGTTCAATTTCACTGGCTAACCTCTGGTTGTAGTATTTTGGAAAAGGGGAAAATAGCTTCTTGTCCATTTTATCCACACCATGTATAATTTTGTACACTCATTTGCCTCCTTTCTAAATTAGAAAGCCACAAATGTCATAGCCTTTTTTTATATGGAAGTTGCTCCCTCTCCCACCGAATCATCCCAGTTTCTCTCTCTGAACCTTTTCCAGTTCTGCTATAACCTTTTTGAGAGTGACCAGAACTGTACACAATATTCCAGATGTTGATGATTCCACTGCCAACACTCTCATAGCTCTAACTATATCTCTGCAAGCCCTTACAATTTTATTGTAGGAATGGCATCCTTTTGGAACTGTCTGGACCAGGCTGTATTCTGGCAAACCCAGTTTTGCACCAAAGATTTCAGAAGAGCTTCTAAGTCATAATACAGGGTACTAGAATTATCAGAAGGATGGATTGGACCTTAATCACCTTTGGATTGTGACATAAATCTATGATCACTTTTATTTGATAAACTGATCTCTGTTTATAATTGGGCCAATCAGTTCACAAATAAATTATTTGAAATTGTAAAGACAGATTTTAGCATCGTTTGACTGCCGCAAGGACTAGATTTATCTCTTATAGGACCGAATTAACTTGTGCTTTAAGAGGTACAGCAGTGCTATATGAAATGGATTTAGTATTCTAACCTCTAATTAATGTTAATTAAATCTCTCAGATGCAATTAAGTCCCATTTTAAACTCATTAAGACATATCCAAAGTATGTAAAAAGTAGATACTATTAAATCCATAGAAAGAAAAAAAATCCCAGTTAATGTAGTTGTCCTATGGAGTGGAATAAAGCATATTCTGAGGATTTCCCCACTATTCTGGAAATGTACAATTAAGCCTTTTTTATTTTTATTTTTAGCCTCCTTTGGTGAGCCCTACATAATTATAATTTTAAAGGCTGGTATATATTTTGTCTGAAATGGTATTGGGTTTCCTGCCTAAGCAGGGGGTTGGACTAGACTAGAAGACCTCCAAAGTCCCTTGCAACTCTGTTATCTTATCCTATCCTGTCCTATCCTACCCTACCCTACCCTACCCTACCCTACCCTACCCTACCCTATATTCTACTTATTGCCTAAGCAATTATCCAATATCCTTGTTATCACACCCAGTTTATAGCCTGCAGATAATATCTTCAATTATCCATCCCACACAAACTTTTTAAATAAAAACTTTTTAATAAAAAATGCCATGCATCTGATAATATTAGACTATTAATTTATATTATGGATACAGATTCAGAAAAATTAAATCAGCTACAGTGAACATATTAATCCCTCTGCTAGGATAATTATAAATGAAATTATTTCTTCATCTATTAAACTGCCTAGTGGAACTCATCATTGATATCCTTATTGACACTTGTTTTTAATCTCATATAGGAATCATTGGCTTATTTTATTTGACAAATGAGAGATATTCTGGGTATAATAGTAGCTGGAACTGAACACAGATGTTTATTTTATGCTGATAATATAGTATGTCTATTTCGTATATTCTGTATCAAAATTTATTGTTATTGATTTTGTACAACCATTTGATAATCTACCAGATTATTTGAATAAGTCTCATGTAGGCTCTAATGATTTATGAAAGCATATAATAAATGGAGAATTTATCACTATTTGAATTTTTAAAAACAATTTGGAAGTAGTTCTAAAGATTTCTCCATTTATAGCTACAAATATATTATTAAAACAGATTGAAATTGACACGCGGATGACTGAAAACCTCACTTTTTATGGCAGAAAGTATTAAAAATGCATATTGTCAAAATTAATATATCTAGAGTTATTTCTGTATCAATACTGTATCTTTACATTATTTTTCAAGCATAGTGACAATATCACTTTTGTTTCTTTTTAAAAGGATGAACTCTACAATTTCTTTGTCTAAATTATGATTATGATATTATAAGGGCTTATACTTTCTGATTTTCAATACCACATCAACCATACATAATAACTTGAATTTATTTAAGGAGCACAAGTGACCAAGTTAAAAAAAAGATTTATTATATGATTCTTTTATAATCATGGCAGAAATTGGCTTCTGTTTTTAGCACAGCTTTATTATATTTCCTCCATTAAAAGTGGCAAGCTACATTTAGAAAAATATGATTTTGTATAACAATTCCTGATTTCAGAAATTAGTCCAGATGATTTAGCAATGTCAGCAACTTTCAAATTACCGTATGAGAACATACTGTATAGTACTCTAGATGAGTCTAAGTGTACAGCTGTAAAGTAAACATATATGTATTTATTACATTTGTACTTCACTACAAACCAGAGACTCTCAAAAATAAATTAAATAGGAGCAATAAACTGAATATTAGATATTCGCAAGAATTCTGAAATTAGAAGTGAGAATATCCCACATTAATGGATCAACAATAAAAGAGCTTAAAAATATTAATTCTTATGACCTTAAATTATTGATTAAACAAAATATTATTTTCATGTTTATTTAACACAGAATGTATTTTCATATATCAGCCTCAACAAAACTGAAGTATTTTACCAGTTCATAGAAAATACGAAGTCTTTAGAACAAAAAAATCACTGTTGATGGCATCCAACTGACAAATGTGAACAGCTTCAAATACTTGGGAAGCATCTCAAGTGATGGGTCTTTGGAAAGAAATTGATTCCAGGATCAGCAAAGCCAACCATGCACAGGGGCAGCTGCATACCAGATTGTTCAATCAACACAACATCCATATCTCCATAAAGCTAACGTCTACAGAGCTATACAGCTATCTCCTGTAAGGATGTAGTCTTGACTCTGCTCATCAAACAACTGGAAAAATTTCAAATGTGCACACCCCATTCCATCTTTGGCATTCCTTGGCTAAGACCATGTCTCTAGCTTGGCGATCTTGGATAGTGCAGAGTCCACCAGCATTGAGTCTCTGGTTTTCAGAGCCCAGAAATTTCATCAGAATGGCTGATTCACCAGTTGCTCTATAGTGTACTGAAGCCTGGGGAAAAGCCTCAAAATTGACCACATCAGCGCTACAAAGACACTGTGAAAGAAATCCTATACCAGTGTAACATCTAGCCAAGGGAACTAGAAGCTGGAGCTGCTGAAAGAACCTTCTGGAGAACTCTCTGCTAAGAAGCCTCCACAGACTTTGAAGACAAGTGCCCCTCAAAACATGAGCAGTGTCATAGAATAGCATCCATTACAATAATGGACTTCCAGTGCCCCCACTGTCTAGACTCTGTACTTGCTTCAGAGACCCCTCTGTGTTTACCAAAGAACTGCACAACAGTGTTTTCTTCAAACTCAGAGGACTACCATATTATATAGTATTCATCGGGTGGGGATTCTCCCCCCTTGCTCACACACTCATTTTTTTTCTCTCTCTCTCTCTTTTGGATCCTTTTGTGTATTTTGCCTTATTTTCCACCCCTTTGTATATAAAAGAGAAAAAAAACACAAAATGTAAGATGTTCTGAATCACATTAAAATTTTGGTCAAAAGCATGAATAAACAAATCTACATTCATTGTTCGTATATCTCGTGCAGTTGGAACTAGATTTACAGAAACTAATTGTTAAAACTAGTCTGCACAGAACAGAAAGCAGTGAATGTTTCAGAGAAAACAATATACCTTTCAAGAGGATTTGATTTTCAATACATACTCTAGCGTAAGGGCAAGATTAAAATCATTTTGCTATATGAATGATATGCCAAGTCTGTCATAACTGAAAAAAGAATAAGAACCACCTCCCAAAGCTGATAAGCTGACGACTACTGCAAATTGGACCCCTATGAATTATTCAGATGGTAGAATTAGGCTGTTTGAAAAAGTAGCTCTACAGAATTATAAGAATGCATAAATACCATTAGATGAATTTTTAATACTGCATGTTATTATTTTTATGCATTTTAATATGTGTATGTATGTGGTGGACTTTTTGTTCTTCGTATTATTACTATTATTTTTGGCAATAACTATACTAAAGCCAATCTTAACTTAGCAATTTGACAATCTCTGTGGCACATAATTTTGTGTAACAGTTGGCAGTGTGCAACCCTGTAGCATACACTCTGTTCTTAGGAGAAGACTGAGTTTCCCTGAAGTGGAAAGAGATACCCCTGAAATGCATGTTTTGACATGTGTTATACGGAGTTGTGGATATCTGCTAGGGTATAAATTAATAACTTATGCATCATGCACATCGTCCTGGCAGGCTCCATAGTTTCTGCTTGTCTGTTCCTGTGTCAGACTCCATAAACTGTTAAAGCTGGGAGGTTTGAGTGAGAAACCTCATTGTGCACGTCACTTATTACATCCTCTATATTAACAAAACAGCATTTCAAAAAATCCAAGACTTTCCTGAACCTGTTTTTGTGCTTTACTGCTTAATCTGAAAACCAGGCAATGCCTCAAAAAAACCCTGATAGAAGAGAAGCTTGGTTTGGGATTTGGGTTTGTTCTTTTTTTTTTTTTTTTTTTGTCTTCTTTATATTTTTAGCTTCAGTGCAAAATACATTTTATTCAGCTCTAAAAATGTTCCATGATTAACTTTTCCCTTCTAAAGTATCCTCGGGCTTATACAATTCACTTTGGAGAGAAAACAAGCAGGAAGAATGTGCTTCATTCCATGCTGCCAGTTATTTCCACCTCAAATGTTCTCCTCCTGCCCTTTCAGTTCCTTTAACCTTTATCTTCTTGCCATGTTTAAAAGATACACAAAAGCCTGAACAGGATAGTTAAAAGTTTCTGGAATAAATCTTCAGTGAGAAACAACTGGTAGGGAAAGGTTAAACACTCTTTTGGCTCATCTCTTGTTCCGAAGAACTCTGTGCACTGGCTCCACAGTAAAGCAACTGCATAAATGCCCAAAGCATATGAAGGCCTTTTCATACTTAGCCTTTAAAAAACTGAATAGTGAGGAAAATAGCAAAAACAACTTTTGAACTTTCAACTGTGGACTATCTTTTTTGTTAAATTTGGTTGTATTTTCTTCTGGGAATTGGACACCATGTAGTTTATACTTGTATAAACATGTAGTTTATATTAGAGGGATGTGGTGGCTCAGTGGCTAAGATGCTGAGCTTGTCGATCGAAAGGTCGGCAGTTCAGCGGTTCGAATCCCTAGTGCCGTGTAACAGGGCGAGCTCCCGTTACTTGTCCCAGCTTCTGCCAACCTAGCAGTTCAAAAGCACATAAAAAATGCAAATAAAAAAAATAGGGACCACCTTTGGTGGGAAGGTAATAGCGTTCCGTGTGCCTTTGCCATTTAGTCATGCCAGTCACATGACCATGAAGACACCTTTGGACAGCGTCTGGCACTTCGGCTTTAAAACGGAGTCAGGAACAACTAGCACATATGTGCGAGGGGAACCTTTACCTTTTTAGTTTATACCTAGGTCAGTAAGAGTTGAATTGAAACTGAACAGAATTTAGAAAGGTACAGGAAGCATTGTTGGGCTCATGATTACTGTTGATAGATTCTGATATAATTCTACCAGATTCTGCTGATTTCTACAAGCAAAGACTGCTTGTGTGCTGTCCAGACAAAATATAAATGCTACTTTCAAGCTGTATTGAGTTGATGCTTGTGAGATAAAAACATGTAATAGAAGATAGAAAGTTCCAGTACTGGATATGACACAAATACTGTTTGTATTTTAATATGCTTTTTTGTCTATCATCATCTTCCTCATCGTCATCCTCATCATTCTTATCATCATTCACATTTTATATGGTCACCCATCTTGCAAAAGCAATTCTGGACAGCTAACATAAGGTTAAAACTAATAATGAAATAACATAATATACATAATGGCATCTGAGGATACTAGAGGATATTTTACAATTGTGGCAGTTTCAAATTCTGTCTGAAATTTTAAAAAGTGGTAATCTGTTCTACATAGCAAAAAACAGTTGAACAAATACCAAGGTGAACAGGCTTATTCATTATATTATGCTTAATACTGTCAGATGCTCATGGCTAGACCTATAAATAGATAAAAGAAAATTAGGTACCATTAGAGACCCAATAATTAGTTATTTAGTGTATGGCTTAATATTTCTTTTTGCTGTTCTTCTTTGGAATGTTGCTGTTCAATAAACTCTGGTATGTAATAATGTCATCCCATATATTACAATTTTAAAACTATAATATTACAATCATTTATAATAAATGATTCCTATTTGCTTTGTTGTTTTTATTCAGAAAATGCTTTGTTGTTGGCAGACATATGAAATGATTTTCAGGGAAAGTTACACTGTATGAGGCACTGAGAGTACAGAGCTGAAAATTAAATCTACCAAGCATCAAAGTACTTAGTTTGACAGGGAGATGGAGTGAACAATTGCAGCTTAAATATAAATGGCAAAAAAACCTAGAGTAACTACATTAATTTGTGTATATTAATAACATGTTTATTAAAGAAAAGGAAGAAATTTTAAATATTGATAGAAAAGTAATAAATTAGTACGGTAAGTGGCGTAAGTTTCATTCCTCTTGGGAGGAATGAAAGAAAGTAGTAAACAATATGTGTATAAGAGTGCACTTCTGGCCACTTCATTGTGAGAATGAAAGAGTTGGGTGTATCAGAAATATAAAAATGTAGCCATTTGAAATAAATAAGGTGGCAGGAGGAGATCTAAAATTCTGGGTTTGAATGTGTTGATAAGATACTAAAAAGAGAAGAATGACATGTTTTTAAAGGCAAAACAAATTGTATAACTTGGTAAATGGATGTGATGGAAGCAACAATCATTTTCAAGGTCAGAAAGACATGATACAGAGAGTGCTGTGGTTTAAACTCATTACTAGCCTCCATTTTCTTTTTCTTAAAATATTTTTTCTGTTAATATTTACTATTTTTCTGTTAATATTTACTATTGTTCTGTGCTTTGCAAAAATTTTCTCATTCCAAAGTAGAATAATGTGATAGGTATGTAGGATGTCAGTCAAAGGCTGTTTGTCTTTAAAAGGTAAATGTTATTGCTGGATTCAGGGCAGTATAACTTCAAATACCAGTTGCATTGGAACAGCAATGGGAGAGTATACTTCCATCCAGGGGTGAAATCCAGCAGGTTCTGACAGGTTCTGGAGAACCAGTAGCGGAAATTTTGAGCAATTTGGAGAACTGGTAGCGGAAATTTTGAGTAGTTCGGAGAACAGGCAAATGCCACCTCTGGCTGGCCTCGGAGTGGGGTGGTAATGGAGATTTTGCAATATCCTTCCCCCAGGAGTGGGGAGAGAATGTGGATTTTGCAGTATCCTTCCCCTGGAGTGGGGTGGGAATGGAGAGTTTGCAGTATCCTTCCCCTGCTATGCCCATCAAGCCACGCCCACAGAGCCAGTAGTAAAAAAATTTGGATTTCACCACTGCTTCCATCAGTCATTTGTGAGCACACCAGAGGGATCTGGTTGGCCATTAAGAAAAACAAAATTCTGGGTTACAATGTGCCTTGATCTGATGCATTAGGATTATTGTTATGTTTTATATTTACAACTCTAATATATGAGACCACAATTTCTATTGCTAAGCAAGGCAGTTGGAAGTGAGGTATGCCTGATTTTATGACCTTTTTGGCCACAGTTGTAAGTGAATCACAAGACTGTTAACCAAACCCAGCTTTCCCTGTTGACTTTGCTTTTTAAAACTGGGCTGGGAAGGTCGCAAACGGTGATCACATGACTCCAAGATACTGCAACCATCATAAATACATCCTGATTGGCCAAACGCCCAAACGTTGATCATATGACTATGGGGATGCTATGAGAGTGAAAAGAGCAAGGACCAGTCATAAATCATTTTTTTCAGTGCTGTTGTAACTTTGAACAGTTGCTAAATGAATGATTGTAAATCAAGGATTACCTGTATACACCTTAACAATAAATATTAGAAGCCTCAGTCTTACAGTTTCACTCATTGGCTTGTGCTGGATCACAACCCTTGTTTCATAGCTGAAAATTACATAACACCATTTTACTCAGATTCAAACAGAGCCACTATTCTGTTTCCTTGATGACTGACCAGATATTTCTAGAAGCTCAATTGCATGGGATGAAGGTAACAGCAGTTGACAGAATCCTTCATATTTAATCTTACTTATATTAAGTGGCTGCACCATTTTAATTTAACACTTACTTTTTAATATATTGCATGTATTCCAATTCTACATTTGCCTACCGATTCTTTTATTATTTTCTTTTATTATTTTTATTTTTATATGAAGTTTATATATTCATGTAAGCCGCCTTGAGTCGACGTGTGCGAGGAGGAGGCAATATAAATTTCCTAAAATAAGTAAATAAAATAAAATAAATTGTCTTCCATGCTCATTTCAAACTGTCATAAATTTCAGAGTAATGATTTCTTCTGCTACTGATTAAATCTCCATACCTGCATTCTTGTCTGTTGAACAGCAGCCTAATATGAGT